GCCAATGTCTTGCAGGATTTCCCCAATCCTCTCTAATAATTTGATGATATCAGATTGTAGATTTAGGTCTTTAATCCATTTTGAATGGGTTTTTTTGTAAGGTGTAAAGTAGGGGTCTTAGTTCTTACTTCTGCATTTGGAAATCCAGTTTTCCCAGCACCATTTGTTAAAGAGACTGTCCTTTCTCCAGGGATTGGTTTTAGCTCCTTCGTCAGATATAAGTTTTTTATAGATACTTAGATTGATTTCTGGCATTTCTATTTCGTTCCATTGGTTTATACATCTGTTTTTGTACCAGCACCAGGCTGTTTTGATTATAAGTGTCTTGTAGTATGTCTTGAAATCTGGTATTGTGATTCCTCCAGCTTTGTTTTTGTTGCAGCTATTTGAGGTCTCCTGTGTTTCCATATGAATTTCAGGATCATTTTTTTCTAGATCTGAGAAGAATGTTTTTGGTATTATGATTGGTATTCCATTGAATCAGTAAGTTGCTTTTGGGAGAATGGACATTTTGATGATAGTGATTCTTTTAATCCCTGAACATGGAGGCTTTTTTCCATTTTTTTTGGTATCTTCTTCTATTTCTTTCTTTAATGTTTTGTAATTCTCATCTTAGAGATCTTTGACATCCTTGGTTAAATTTATTCCAAGGTATTTGATTTTATTTTGTAGCTATTGTGAATGGGATTTATCTTAGATGTTCTTTTTCAGCCATGGCATTGTCTATGTATACAAAGGCTGATGATTTTTATGTGTTGATTTTTATATGCTGCCATGTTACCAAACTCTTCTATGAGTAACAATAGTCTCTTAATGGAGTCTTTTGGATCTTCTATATATAGAATCATGTCATCTGCAAATAGGAATAGTTTCACTTCCTCCTTCGCAATTTGTATTCCTTTGATTTCTTTTTCTTGCCTAATGGCTCTTGCCAAAACTTCTAGGACTATATTGAAGAGTATTAGTGAGAGTGGGCACCCTTGTCTGGTCCCAGATCTCAGTGGGAATGCTTCCAAATTTTCCCCATTCAGTAGGATGCTGGTCATAGGTTTGTCATATATTGCCTTGATTGTGTTGAGGAATGTTCCTTCTACACCCAATTTGTTTAAGGATTTCATCATGAAAGGGTTGTATTTTATCAAATATTTTCTCTGCATCTATTGAGATAACCATATGGTTTTTTCCTCCAATTTGTTAATGTGGTGTATCACATTGATTGATTTGAGAATGTTGAGCTAGTCCTGCATACATGGTATAAATCCTACTTGGTCTGGATGAATGATCTTTCTGATGTGTTGTTGGATTCGACTGGCTAATATTTTGTTGAGGATTTTTGCATCTATGTTCATCAGGGAAATTAGTCTGAAGTTCTCTTTATCTGTGTATCTTTCTCATGTCTAAGAATTAAGGTGATGCTGGCTTCACAGAAGGAGTTTGAGAGGATTCCTTCCCTTTCAATTATTTCGAATAGCTTGAGAAGAATTGGAGTTAGTTCTTCTTTAAATGTCTAGTAGAATTCAGTGGTGAAACTGTCTGGTCCTGGGCTTTTCTCTGCTGGGAGTGTCTTTATTACTGATTCAATTTCTGTCTTGATTTTTGGTCTGCTTAGGTTTTCTACATCTTCATGGTTCAATTTAGGTAGGTTGTATGTGTCTAGAAATCTATCATTTCCTCTAGGTTTCCTGATTTTTTGACATTTGTAGTAATTTCTGCTGATTGTTATTTCTGTGGTGTCTGTTAGTACATTTCTGTTTTCATCTCTAATTTTATTGATTTGTGTCATCTCTTTTTTGATTAGTTGAGCCAATGGTGTGTCAATTTTGTTAATTTTTTCAAAAAACAGATTTTATTTTGCTGATCCTTTATATGTTTTGTTTCAATTTTGTTGATTTCTTCTCTAATTTAAATTACTTTTCTCCTACTATTTTGAGTTTGGTTTGCTATTGTTTTTCTTGATCCTTGAGATGCATTGATAGCTCATTTATTTAGTGCTTTTCCAATTTCTTGATGTAGGCACCAACTGCTATAAACTTTCCTCTTAACCCTGCTTTTTCTGTATCTTGTGAGTTTTGATAAGTTGTATTGTCTTCATTCGTTTCCAGAAATTTTTTGATTTCTTCAATGGTGCACTGTTCATTCAGGAGCATGTTTTTCATTCTCCATGTGTTTGCATGTGTTCTAGAGATTTCTGAGTTGTTGATCTTCAGTTTCATTCCATTGTGGTCAGAGAAGATGCATGGTATGATTTCTATTTCTTTTTAATTTGCTGAAACTTGCTTTATGGCCTAGCATGTGGTCTATCCTAGAGAAAGTTCCATGTACTGCTGAGAAGAATGTGTATTCTGCAACTGAATACACTGAAAAGTTCTATAGATACCTGTTAGGTCCATTTGGTCTACAGTGTCAATTAACTCTGTTGTTTCCTTGCTTATTTTCTGTCTGATTGATCTGTCCATTGCTGAAAGTGAAGTATTGTAGTCCCCCATTACTGTTGTATGGGTGTCTATGTTTCCCATTATATCCACTAAAATATCTTTTAAATAGCCAAGTGCCCTGTAATTAGGTTTGTGCACATTTACTACAGTCACATCTTACTGTTGAATTGATCCCTTAAACATTGAATGGTGGATGAAAGGATTGTCAGTGGCTCTTGGACAGACTTTTGAAGAAAAGCTGAAGTGTAAGATTTCTTGTAGGTAACACCTCCCATTGAAATAGATGTTTGCATGCAGTGCATGTTTAAAGATTCAAAGATGGAAAAGCACTGTTCTCTATAGCAGCATTGAGATATAGTTCAGTAGAGCTTAAATAAAATTCAGAGAAGTGTAGGTGTCTGGGGAAGGTGTCCAGACCCCACTTTGGAGGCACTTATGCCCTGCTCTGGTGGCTAGGTTCCAGTTCTGGCACTACTTTTGATTCCCCATTCCTACTCACAACACACTCTGAGAGTCAGCAGGTGAACACTCAAGTCCTTGGGTCACTGACACCCAACATGGGAGACCCAGATGCAGTTCCAGATCATGGACTGGTGACCCTGGCCTGCTGGGTTCCCAGAGAGAAAAGAGCACATACAGTGGCCCAGAGGTGGCCCAAGATCTGTGTCTAACAAGGCTGTCCAATGTGTGCAGAGGGAAAGGCGGGCAGGGGGCAGGTGAGCGAAGGTCCCCAATGTGAGAGGAGGAGCTGTGTCCTGCCCTGAAGGGGACAGAGCCCAGCATGGGTTTGAAGGACAGCAACAGTGGGATTTCACAATTGTGTTTCTGTTGATAAAGAAAATCCACACGGAGGTACAAATGGGGGCACCAAGCCTGCCACCCCATCCCTGCCTGCTTCTTGCTTCCCTAGCCCTGCCCTCAGGGTGAAGGGCAATCTCACCTGAATGGGGGGGACCCAGATCTCTACCTGGACATGACCACTGTAGGGCACTGCAAAGGAAAGAGTTCCCCAGAGAAAGGCCCTGAGGCACTTCCCAAAGTTCACATTCATGCCTCACATGGAAATGCAGGTGACTGGGGCCCTGGAACCTGATTTACAAAGGTGCCTGCCCGCCAGCCCCCAGGCCCTCCAGGCTGCTGTCTCTTTCCATCAGTCTCTCTTCAGGCGCTGAAGCCTCCCAGGATTGCTCCAGGCCACAGCTCCCAGGAAGGGGACACATCATGGAGAAAGGCCCAGGACACTGGGCACTGGCCAGTTAGGGAACACAGCAGCAAGGTCAGAAGAAGCAAGGCTACTTGGGGCTCTGCCCAGCCCACCTCTGGGACTCCACACAGGGCCTGCTTATAGTGACTTGTCATTGTGTTGTGGACTTGGGGCAGGTGCACACACACCAGCAAGACCTGTGTTCCTGCACCTCTTACAACAGTTGCCACATCACCTGTGTGCTGGGAGCTCACACAGAGTGTCTGCATGTCTGCACTGGACATAGCTCACAGCCTTATCCCGTCAGGATCACCATTGTCACTCTTGGGGGTGCCCTTGAGATTTCGCTGAAGTCACTTCTCCCTGTGACTTCCCTGAGGCCTCCAAGAATGGCCTGACCACCTGCTGAAGCTGGAGCACCCACAGCCCTGATTCTGTGCCAGGAGGAGGCAGAACAGCAAAAGGGCTGTGATCCATCTTGGTGGAGCCTCCATGTTACCTTCAGATTTGAAAGAAATGATCATTCCCTAGAACTAGCTCCCAACCCCAGGAAACATGGAGCTAAGACAAATAACCTGGGTGCAGAGGGCTCCGTGTCCACAGCTTCCCCAGGTAGAGCCCGAGGGGCCCTCTGCTCTGCAGGCAGCCCCCAGTTCTACTGTTACCTCCCTCCTGTTTGCACAGCAGCTTTGGAATGCCAGGCTGGGCCAGATGACCCAGTGTCCTGAACACCTGCAGAGAAACCCCTGGTATGTGGCTGCCTCTGTTCTCTGCTGAGCCCAGGCCACAGCTGGAATTCCTGCCCAGCTCCCAAGGGTAGCTGTCTGCGTCTACAACTGGCCAGTCCCATACATTGTGATGTCAGAGTCCTTGGCCTTCGGAGTGGTTTTTTTTTTTTCTCCATTGGCAATGCAGGTGCACATTGGGTATGGACACTCTCAGCTCTGCCTCCATGCACATCACGAATGACTGGACCTACCTGCTTTGTCACAGATCCATGGACCCTCCTTCCTGTGTAGCAGCAACTGTGCATGTTTGAACCTCTCACTATCTCCCTTAACTCCCTCCCCCTCCACAAGCCTCACCATGCTCTCCTCCCTCACCTCCACCTCCCCAAAACTCCCACACCCCAGACCCTCCCACCTTCCCCACACCCCACATCCAATCACCCACCAACCTCTACCCCACATCTACCCAAACCCCCACCCCCAGCCAGCTTCTGGGAGCCATCGCTCTCTTCTCAGGTCCAGGAGGTCAGCCTGTGTGTCAGCCCCAGAGCTAGAAGAGGAGACCGTATTTGTCCAGGGGAGATTCATCTGGGTGTCAACTCCATCCAACCATGCCAAGGTGCACCCAACGCAACACACACGACAGTTCCATGGATAAAGTTTAGATTTTTATTGACGAGAAGCACAGAAAGCTCTCAAGAAATGTGAGCCCTCCGGCAGCTCAGCTTGCACACTGAGGCAGGCTACCTGGGGGTCACCTTTCGGCTGCGGGGGCCAGGGCCTCTGGCTGGGGCTGGCAGGCAGCAGGCACGCAGGAGGAATCTGAGGATGCTCCTGCCAATCCTCCTGCCCAGCCCCTGCCGGCCGTTGCTCGGGACAGAGGCCGATGCTGAGGTCCCAGGCTCCTCAGGCTCAGCTGCTGGGACCTCTGGCACCACCAGGTGCGGACTGCTCCTGGGGCTGGGGGTGGAGGGGGCGGCCACAGGGACGGGCTCGGGGGCTGGGCTGGCACCAGGGATCCTCTCCTGCAGCTGTCCAGGGAGGGAAACGGCCAGCACAGGGGCAGCAACGGCAGAATCTGGCTTAGGTTCCGGCTTGGGCATGGGCTCCGGCTCCAGCACCAAGTCTGAATCCGACTCCGCCTCGGACTTGGACTCCAGCTCAGGCTCGGGCTCCCTGTGTCCCTGAGGAGAGAGAGGAAGACGGGTGAGGAAGACAGATGCGCTCCGCACCTCCCTCATTCCCACAAAACCGTGAGGCTGTGCGGGGAGACCACGGCCAGACCCGCGCTCTGCCAACAGGGCTGTACCTGCTCCAGGCTCTGGGAGTCCGGCTGCAGGGACATCCGGCTGGATCCTGCAGGACCAGATGGCACCGAGGCTCCAGCGTCCGGAAGCAGACCCAGGCCCGCCAGGTACTCCTGGGCGTCTGGGTCCTCGGGAACCCCCAGGGGCTGAACCACGATCACCTCCTCGCCCTCAGCTTCCTCTCGTAAGGGGTCAAACCACCATTGCTGGCGGGCAGATTCCGCTGTAGGCCTGTCGCAGGGGTCTGGGCTGAGGAGTGAGCTCAGGAGCTCCTCCAGGGCTGGGCTGGCCGCACACGGGAGCTCGTAGCTCCCCCTCTGGATGCAGTCCCGCAGCTCCGCCAAGTCGTTCCTGCTGAAGGGCATGGCCCCTGCCAGCATGGCAAAGAGGATGACCCCCAGGCTCCAAAGGTCTGCTGCGAATGGATCATACGGCTCCTGCCGGAACACCTCGGGGGCGCTGTACTCCGGGGTCCCGCGGAAGCCCTGCACCAGCTCGCCCTCGGGCAGATGGCAGCTGAGCCCAAAGTCCGCCAGCTTCACGTTGAGCTGAGAGTCCAGCAGCAGGTTCCCCAGCTTGAGGTCCCTGTGCGCCACCCGCTGTGCGTGGCAGTGGGCCACAGCCGCCAGGATTTGGTCAAACATGACCATGACCTCGGGCTCTGGCAGGCCGCCCCGCCTCATCACGTGCTGGTAGAGGTTGCCCCCGTCCACCAGCTCCATCACCAGGCAGTGGTAATGGCCGACGCGACCCACCTCCAGCAGCTGCACGATATTCGGGTGCCTCAGGAGCTGCAAGATGCTGGCCTCTTGCGTCACTCGCCTGGTGCCGAAGGGGTCGCCAGCATGTAAATGAAAAAACTTCACAGCCACCTGCCGCTGGCTGGAAGCCTGGCGGGCCAGCACCACCATGCCGAAGCTGCCCCGGCCCAGGGCCGACAGCAACTGGAGCTCAACCTGTGAGCTGTCGATGGCATCCAGGTCCTCACGGCCTTCCTGGCTGGTGTCCCTAACTACGCTCTCTGATCTGCTCTGGCTAATATTCCTGTCCATACACACTAACTAAGGAGCTACCCTAACTACAATAACTGAGAAAATAAAGGGACAACAAGGGGACTACCTCCTGATCTGACTACCGTACCACACTACCTATTCTAACTACACTTATCAAACACAGTGGCAAGACTAAGTCCTATCTAACCAAAACAGAAAACAAAAACCAGAAAAACTCCAAAACAACAAACACTAAATAGCTACACTAACACTCTGAGATCTAGCCACGCTGTCTAGCTATAGATGCGGGAAGCCAAAAACGAAAAAAACTGCAAAAAAAGACACAATGGGCCAAAAAAGAAATAGGAGGAAAAAAACAAACTAAATCCAAATGGGGGAAAGAAAAAACCAAATAGAACAAGAAACAAACAAACAAACAAAACAGCACACCAACACCAACCAACACAAGCGCAAGCAAAGATGGGTCCAAGCACACAGGTCACCGAAATAGCTCCCTGGTAAAGCGGACAAAAACCTGGGCCGCGCAGCCGCTTATATAGGCGTGTGGAATCCTGTCATCACAGGGCTCCTTATGAAGTCAGAGCGAGAAATGGACCAATAGCAGTTCGGCAGGGACTTGCACGACTTTCCATTTCACCACAGTTGGTCCTTATGAAGTCAGAGATGGGCGGGCACCAATCACAGCCACAGCTAATCCTCGGGGGTTTCCTCAACAAGTTTCCTCTTAAACAATATCAAAGACCCCAAGAGTTTCTGGCTTAGATTGGTGATACAGACTGATGTTTACAATTTGAACTTTAAACACGTAGGATGCACCTATGGCCTTTTCCTTTCTCCTTAAGAACTGATAACATTTGTGGGGTCTTTAAGACCTCTGATGGTCTACACTGCAGAGACACATCCCATTGCCTTTAACCCTGAATGATAGGTCTCAGAATGATGCTACAACTTCTCTGGCGTCATGATAACCTTGACAAAGTGTTCTGTTGCCCCTGACACCACCAGGCACATTATTCTCATTGACAGAACTGAGAGGAAGGCATCTTTCATCATCCTCTCCCCCTAAGATCCTCACCAGATTTCTCGTTAGAACCCCTGGAGGACCAGAAGGGAGCTCTGGGTGGGTATAGTCCAGGTACGGAGGCCAACCAAGTGTCAGCTGAGAGAGCTGCATCCTCCAACTTGTCCTTAGAAAAGCAGGAAGAAATGGAGGCATTTCCAGATGTCTCAGGGTTCTTGGGCTACTCCAACAGAGTGTCGTGAACGGAGTCATGGAAAACAGAACTTCATTCCTCAGTGTTTGTTCTGCAGGCTGGAAGGTGAAGGTCAGGGCTCCAGCAGACTCGTTGTCTGGAAAGCGCTCCCTCTCTGCTGCTGCTGAGCCTTCTTCAGAGAGAGATGGTAAGATGGGAAGGCTGGTGGTTTGCTGTGGTTGGTTGAAGCTAAGTACATGTGTGCAAAATGGTGTTGTCGTCCTTAAAAAAGTACCACACCTTAGTCCAAAACTCCCCAGTAAATTTTAAGGAAAGATCATGGCTTCCTGGGGTGTCCTCAGATGGTGAAAGCACAGACCTCACCCCGTCAAGCCCTTTAGACAGACAGGTAGCCTGCGGCTGACACTGCAGTCCAGCAGGTTAAACCCTGCTACACCAGCATCCCATGTGGGTGCTGGTTGGAGGCCTGGCTCCACTTCCAAACCAGCTACCTGCTATTGTGCCTGGGAAAGCAACAGATGATGGATCAAATATTTGGGCCTCTGCCACCCGTGTGGGAGACCTGGATGGAGTTCTGGGCTCCTGCCTTTGGCCTGACACAGAGATAGCAATTGAAGCCATTTGGGGAGTGAACCAGCAGTTGGAAGTTATCTCTCCTTCCTCTCCCTCACTCTCGCCACCCTCTCTCTCTGCCTCCCACCTTTGCTCTCTGTAACTCTGACTTTCAAATAAATCAATGTGTGTGTGTACGTGTGTGTGTGTGTGTGCGTGTGCGAGTGTTAGAAAAGAGAAACTCATTCATCCTTTAAAAGAGAGTGGAGCCCTAACCCTGGGTTCCCCTTCTCTTTACACTGTAGCATCAACCTTGAAATTCGATCATGAGGTTTGGAGGGACGTGGACAGTTTTCACCACTAGACCTGCCCTGCATGAAAGGGATCTTTGAGGCTGAACGACAGGACCCTGCAGAGGACCCAAAGCCATAAAGAAAGAAGATCTCTGGGAAGGCTAATTGTCTGGTAGGATCACATTGTGCTGGGTATGTGCATTGGAATAGTGGACTGTAGCCCATAAATCTACAAGTATTGCATACTACTCCCCAATTTAAAGATACTCTTCAATTTCTTTCATCCGTGTTTTCAGGCTTTGTTATAGAATTTTTTTTGTCTCCTTGATTACACTTATTCTTGGGTATTCTTTTTCTTTATTGTAGCCCTTGGGTATGGGATTGCTCTCTAGGTTTCTTTTCCGGATGATTCAGTTTCGGTGTATAACAGTGCTACTGGTTTTGTACATCGACTTTGTAGCCTACAACTTTGCTGCATGTCTTAGTTCTATCAGGTTTTTGGTTGCACCTTAGGGGTTCTCTAAGATCATTTCAATTGCCAACAGTGACAATTTGACTTCCTCCTTTCCAGTTTGGAGGTCCTTTGTTTTTCTTGCCCAATTTCTCTGGGGTAGGCCTTCCAGTATCATGTTGAATAAAATTTCAGTTAAAAAAAGGAATTTCTGTACATTTTAGTGCCTTTTAGCATTGATCTGGGATGGCCAATATCTAGAAATATGTTTTCATTTCAATGCATATTGTTCATTTTTAACCTGAATTTCCCATTATAGAAATCACGTTATAATTGATAGAATTTAAAAGGAGGGAATTATCCAACATGGGAAGCAGGCCACAGAGACAGAAGACTCATAGAAAAGGGACCAATGGCAGTCCAGCAGGGACTGGCATGAATTTCTATTTCATGACAATTGGGCATTATGAAGTCAGAGCAGGTGAACACCTGGCTAACTTTTGCTCTTTTCCCAGGCAATGAGCAAAGAGAGGATCAGAAGTGAGTCAGCCCAGACACAGATGGGTGCCAGTGTCTCAGGGGGTGGCTTTCCATGTCGTCCCACAGTGCTGGCCACATCTGGGTCACTGCCACATTGTAGGTCACTGCCACATGGTAGGAATTATCACAGTGGTGATCTGCACTGGCCCCTGGTACTGTACAAAGCATCAGAAATGCAGTCCATAAGTGCTGTTGCAGGAGAATGACTTGTTCCTTTTCAAATGTGAGGGGAGGGGCCGGTGTCAGGACTCATGGGGTGGAGCTGCTGCCTGTGACACCAGCATCCACATCAAATGGTGTGCTCTGACTTCCTGATGGAGCTCCTGGCTCCTGGCTTCAGCCTGGCCTAACCCCAGCTGTTGCAGCCATTTCAGGCATGAACCAGCAGCTCTCTCTCTCCCTGACTCTCCCTTTCTCTGTTGCTCTGCCTTGAAAAATGATTATTTAAACATCATTTTAAAAGGTTCTAGGAGTGAGTGGAGGAGGGGCAGCAAATTGTGGCATACTCTGATAAGCTGCTGCCTGGAGTGCCGACACCCACAGTGGGCACCACCAGTTCCTGAGCAGGATGCTCCACTGCTGACCCAGCTCCCTACTACTGGGCCTTGAAAAGCAGTGTAATATGGCCCACATTCTGGGGGCCCTGCCACCCAAGTGGGAGACCTTAATGAAGCTCCTGGCTCCTGACTTTAGCCTGTCCTAGCCTTGGTCAGTGTGGCCTTCTTAGATGTGAATGAGCTGATGAATCTCTCTCTCTTTCTCTCTCTCTCTCCCTCTCTCTCTCTCCCCTCCCTCTCTCTCCCTCTGTCTCTCTCTCTCTCCCTCCCTCGCTCTCTGGCTCTCCCCTTGTTTCTCTCTCTCTAGCTCTCTCTAGCTCTCTTTCTCTCTGTCCTCTCTCTCTAACTCAGCCATTCAAATCTCTAAAAATATAGGACAGGAAACGTATTTCCCCCAATTTTGACTGCTTCAGGAATATTGCAGCAAAATGTCTCCCATTTACTTCCCACGAAATGTTTTCAACCTATTCTGGCATACCTGTTGTTGAATTATAAAGTAGATGCAAATTAAAACTTACTGATGAACACTATTTTCAGATTTTTTTTCTTTGACAGAACCAAAGATAATGTCACAGTTGCAAAAGAGTGGATTACCGGATTGTCAGTGTTTCTTGGTGAGAATTTTGAAGGGAACCTGAAATATACGATCTCTGTAAGTGATACCTGAAATACATCTACTCATGTTTTCAGGCAGTGCATTGTAAAGATTCAAAAACAGAAAAGCACAGTCTCTATAGCAGCATTGAGATAGAGTTCATTAGCTGAAATAAGACCCAAGAGGCGCAGGTGTCTGGGACAGGGTTTAAGACCCCACTTGGGATGCACACATGCCCTGTCCTAGTACCTGGGTTCCAGTCCTGCCACTGCATTCGACTTCACGTTTCTAATCGCACGCTGAGAGGCAGCAGGTGAACACCCAAGTCCTTGGGTCCCTGACACCCAACATGGCAGACCCAGATGCAGTTCCAGATTCTGGATTGGATACCCCAGCCTGCTGGCTTCTCAGGGACGAAGGAGCTCATGCAAAGACCCAGAGGTGGCCCAAGATCTGTGTCTAAGAAGGCTGTCCAATGTGTGCAGAGGGAAAGGCGGGCAGGGGGCAGGTAAGCGAAGGTCCCCAGTGTGAGGGGAGGAGCTGTGTCCTGCCCTGAACAGGACAGAGCCTGGCATGGGTTTGAAAAACAGCCACGCTGGGAGTCCACACTTTATGTGCAGCAGGGCATCAAGAAAATCCACACCAGGGAGCAGACGGGGGCAACAAGCCTGCCACCCCATCCCTGCCTGCTTCTTGTGCCCCAGCCCTGCCCTCAAGGAGAAGGACAGTTTCACCTGGATGGGGAGGACCCAGGTCTATACCTGGCCATGACCACTGTAGTTCACCCCAAAGGAAAGACTTCCCCAAAGAGCTCACACATACTGTCTGCACCTCTGCCCTGCACACAGCTTACAGCCTTATCCATCAGGATCACCATGACCCACTTGTCCCTCCTGGAGCTGACCTTGAGATTTCTCTGGAGTCACTTTTCCCTGTAACTTCCCCGAGGCCTCCAAGAAGGGCCTGCCCCCCTGCATAAGCTGGAGCGCAGTGCAGCACCAATTCTGCCCAGGGAGGAGGCAGAAGAGCCAGAGGGCTGTGATCCATCTTGGCGGAGCATCCATGCTACCTTCAGATGTGTGTGACAGAAATGATCATGACCTAAGAACAAACTCGCAACTCCTTGAAGCATGGAGTTAAGACATGTAACATGGGTGTGGAGTGCTCCATGTCCACAGCTTCCCCTGGTGGTGTCGAGAGGCCCTGTCCTCTATAAACAGCCCCCAACTCTATTTCAGTTCCCTACTGTTTGCAAAGTCAGCTATGGATGTCCAGGAAGGGGCCAGGTGAACCAATGTCCTGAACACTTTCAGAAAACTACTACATGGCAGCCTCTGTTTTCTGCTGAACCCAGGCCACAGTAGGAATTCCTGCCCAGCTCCCACCTGCAGCTGCCCGAGTCCACAGCTGGCCAATCCCGCACACTGTAATGTCAGGAACATGGCCCGCAGGAGTGGGGTCATGTTCTCCAATGGCAGTGCAGGTGGACATTGCCTGTGGACACTCTCAGCTCGGCCTCCATGCACATCACTAGTGACAGGACCTCCCTGCTGTGTCACAGATCCAGGAACCCTTCCTGTGGAGGAGCAACTGTGCACGTTTGAGCCTCCCCCCCCCTTACCCGTCCCCCTCCACAAGCCTCACCATGCTCTCCTCCCTCACCTCCACCTCCCAAACAAAAACTCCCACACCCCAGACCCTCCCTCCTACTCGCACCGCCCACACCCAATCCTCCACCCACCAATAACCACCATCAACCTCCCCTCCAGCCAGCTTCTGGGAGCCATCGCTCTCTTCTCAGGTCCAGGAGGTCAGCCTGTGTGACAGCCCCAGAGCAACGAGAGGGGGCCGTCCTTGTCCAGGGGAGATCCGTCTGGTAGTCAACTCCATCCAACCACGCCAAGGTGCACACCAGGACCCAAACACCACACACGACAGTTCCATGGATAAAGCTTAGCTTTTTATTGACGAGAAGCACAGAAAGCTCTCAAGAAATGAGAGCCCTCAGGCAGCTCAGCTTGCTCACTGAGGCAGGCTACCTGGGGGCCACCTTTCGGCTGCGGGGGCCAGGGCCTCTGGCTGGGGCCGGCAGGCAGCAGGCACGCAGGAGGAATCTGAGGATGCTCCTGCCAATCCTCCTGCCCAGCCCCTGCCGGCCCTTGCTCGGGACAGAGGCCGATGCTGAGGGCCCAGCCTCCTCAGGCTCAGCTGCTGGGACCTCTGGCACCACCAGGTGCGGACTGCTCCTGGGGCTGGGGGTGGAGGGGGCAGGCACAGGGACAGGCTCGGGGGCTGGGCTGGCACCAGAGCTCCTCTCCTGCAGCTGTCCAGGGAGGGAAACGGCCAGCACGGGGGCAGCAACGGCAGAATCTGGCTTAGGTTCCGGCTTGGGCATGGGCTCCGGCTCCAGCACCAACTCTGAATCCGACTCCGCCTCGGACTTGGACTCCAGCTCAGGCTCGGGCTCCCTGTGTCCCTGAGGAGAGAGGGGAAGACGGGTGAGGGAGACAGATGCGCTCCGCACCTCCCTCATTCCCACAAAACCGTGAGGCTGTGCGGGGAGACCACGGCCAGACCCGCGCTCTGCCAACAGGGCTGTACCTGCTCCAGGCTCCGGGAGTCCGGCTGCAGGGACATCCGGCTGGATCCTCCAGGACCAGATGGCACCGAGGCTCCAGCGTCCGGAAGCAGACCCAGGCCCGCCAGGTACTCCTGGGCGTCTGGGTCCTCGGGAACCCCCAGGGGCTGCACCACGATCACCTCCTCGCCCTCAGTTTCCTCTTGTAAGGGGTCAAACCACCATTGCTGGCGGGCAGATTCCGCTGTAGGCCTGTCGCAGGGGTCTGGGCTGAGGAGTGAGCTCAGGAGCTCCTCCAGGGCTGGGCTGGCCGCACACGGGAGCTCGTAGCTCCCCCTCTGGATGCAGTCCCGCAGCTCCACCAAGTCGTTCCCGCTGAAGGGCATGGCCCCCGCCAGCATGGCAAAGAGGATGACCCCCAGGCTCCAAAGGTCTGCTGCGAATGGATCATACGGCTCCTGCCGGAACACCTCGGGGGCGCTGTACTCTGGGGTCCCGCGGAAGCCCTGCACCAGCTCGCCCTCGGGCAGATGGCAGCTGAGCCCAAAGTCCGCCAGCTTCACGTTGAGCTGAGAGTCCAGCAGCAGGTTCCCCAGCTTGAGGTCCCTGTGCGCCACCCGCTGTGCGTGGCAGTGGGCCACAGCCGCCAGGACTTGGGCAAACATGACCATGACCTCGGGCTCTGGCAGGCCGCCCCGCCTCATTACGTGCTGGTAGAGGTCGCCCCCGTCCACCAGCTCCATCACCAGGCAGTGGTAATGGCCGACGCGACCCACCTCCAGCAGCTGCACGATATTCGGGTGCCTCAGGAGCTGCAAGATGCTGGCCTCTTGCGTCACTCGCCTGGTGCCGAATGGGTTGTAAATGGAAGAGCTTCACAGCCACCTGCCGCTGGCTGGATGCCTGGCAGGCCAGCACCACCATGCCGAAGCTGCCCCTGCCCAGGGCCGACAGCAACTGGAGCTCAACCTGTGAGCTGTCGATGGCATCCAGGTCCTCACGGCCTTCCAGGCTGGTGTCCCTAACTACGCTCTCTGCTCTGCTCTGGCTAATATTCCTGTCCATACACACTAACTAAGGAGCTACCCTAACTACAATAACTGAGAAAATAAAGGGACAACAAGGGGACTACCTCCTGATCTGACTACCGTACCACACTACCTATTCTAACTACACTTATCAAACACAGTGGCAAGACTAAGTCCTATCTAACCAAAACAGAAAACAAAAACCAGAAAAACTCCAAAACAACAAACACTAAATAGCTACACTAACACTCTGAGATCTAGCCGCGCTGTCTAGCTACAGATGCGGGAAGCCAAAAACGAAAAAAACTGCAAAAAAAGACACAATGGGCCAAAAAAGAAATAGGAGGAAAAAAACAAACTAAATCCAAATGGGGGAAAGAAAAAACGAAATAGAACAAGAAACAAACAAACAAACAAAACAGCACACCAACACCAACCAACACAAGCGCAAGCAAAGAGGGGTCCAAGCACACAGGTCACCGAAATAGCTCCCTGGTAAAGCGGACAAAAACCTGGGCCGTGCAGCCGCTTATATAGGCGTGTGGAATCCTGTCATCACAGGGCTCCTTATGAAGTCAGAGCGAGAAATGGGCCAATAGCAGTCCGGCAGGGACTTGCACGACTTTCTATTTCACCACAGTTGGTCCTTATGAAGTCAGAGACCGGCGGGCACCAATCACAGCCACAGCTAATCCTCGGGGGTTTCCTCAACCAGCTTTCTCTTAATATCAAAGACCCCAAGAGCTTCTGGCTTAGATTGGTGATACAAACTGATGTTTACAATTTGAACTTTAAACACGTAGGATGCACCTATGGCCTTTTCCTTTCTCCTTAAGAAGTGATAACATTTGTGGGGTCTTTAAGACCTCTGATGGTCTACACTGCAGAGACACATCCCATTGCCTTTAACCCTGAATGATAGGTCTCTGAATGTTGCTACAACTTCTCTGGCATCATGATATCCTTGACAAAGTGTCCCGTTGCCCCTGACACCACCAGGCACATTACTATAATGGACACAGCTGAGAGAAGGGCATCTTTCATAATCCTTTCCCCCTAAGATCCTCACCAGATTTCTCGTTAGAACCCCTGGAGGACCAGAAGGGAGCTCTGGGTGGGTATAGTCCAGGTACGGAAGGCCAACCAAGTGTCAGCATTCTCCAAATTGTCCTTAGAAAAGCAGGGAGAAACTGACGCATGTTTGATGTCTCAGGGTTCCTGGGCTGCTCTCACAAAGTGTCTTGAATGGAGTCATGAATAAAGAACAGAACTTCATTCCTCAGTGTTTGTTCTGCAGGCTGGAAGGTGAAGGTCAGGGCTCCAGCAGACTCGTTGTCTGGAAAGCGCTCCCTCTCTGCTGCTGCTGAGCCTTCTTCAGAGAGAAATGGAAGGTGGAAAGGCTGGTGGTTTGCTGTGGTTGGTTGAGCCAAGTACATGTGTGGAGAGTGGCGTTTTAGCTCTTAAGAAAGTACCACACCTTAATCCAACATCTTTTTTTTTTTTTTTTTTTGACAGGCAGAGTGGACAGTGAGAGAGAGAGACAGAGAGAAAGGTATTCCTTTTTGCCATTGGTTCACCCTCCAATGGCCGCCACGGCCGGCGCGCTGCGGCCGGTGCACCGCGCTGATCCAATGGCAGGAGCCAGGTGCTTATCCTGGTCTCCCATGGGCTGCAGGGCCCAAGGACTTGGGCCATCCTCCACTGCACTCCCAGGCCATAGCAGAGAGCTGGCCTGGAAGAGGGGCAATCGGGATAGAATCCAGCGCCTTTACCGGGACTAGAACCCGGTGTGCTGGTGCCGCAAGGCGGAGGATTAGTTTAGTGAGCCACAGCTCCGGCAATCCAACATCTTAATCTGCATTTTAATCCAATAATTTTCAAAGAAAAATTGTGCCTTCCAGGGGTTTACTCAGATGGTGATATCAAAACCATCCCCCTTTAAAGCCTTGTTAGACAGTCATGTAGGCTGTGGCCAACACTGTAGTCCAGCAGGTTAAACCCAGCTCCACCAACAATCCATGTGGGTGCTGATTGAGGTCCGGGTGTTCAACATCCAATCCAGCTCCCTAGTGTCATGTCTGGTAACGCAGCAGAGGATGTACCAAGTATTTTGGGAGTCCGGGATGGAATTCAGGACTGGCCTGACCCAGCCCTGGTAATTGTGGCTCTTTGGGGAATGAACCAGCAGTTGGTCGATATCTTTTTCTCCGTTTCCCCCACCCTCTTTAACTCTGATTTTCAAATAAATAAATAATTTTCTTTTTTTAGAAAAAAGAAATTCACTCATCCTGTGAAAGAGAGTGGAGCCCTAGTCCTGCATTCCCCACCTCTATACTGTAGCATTGACCTTGCAGTTTGAACATGAAGTTTGGAGGTACATGGACATTCCTCACCACTAGGCCTTCTCTGTGTGAAAGGCATCTTTGAGCCTGAACTACAGGACCCTGGACAGGACGGCAAAGCCAGAAAGAAATAAGAACTCCAGGAAGACTAATTGTCTGGTAGGATCAATTTATGCCGAGTCTATGTGTTGAAATATTGAATGTTACAAGTATTGCAGGCTAATCGCAATCTAAAATACTCTTTAATTTCTTTCATTGAAGACTCATAGTTTTAATTGTAGGGATATTTTACCTCTTTGGTCACATGTATTTCCAGATATTTCCTTTTTCTTTAGTGTAGGTATTGAACATGGGATTGCTTTCTGCTGGTTATTGTATGTTGACTTCACAGCCTGAAACTTTGCTGAACGTATGCAATATGGAGTTTTTGGGAGTTTTCTATTTGTACGTTCATATCATTTGCCAAAAGTTATGATTTGGCCTCATTCTTCAATTTGGATACCCTTGATTTCTTTCTCTTGCCTAATTTCTGTGGCTAGGATTTCCAGTAAAATGTGGAATAAAACTTGAATGATAATAAAAAAGAATCTGCATAACTTTAGTATCTGTTAGCACTGATCTTGGTTTTACAATGTATGGAAATATGTCTTCATTTCAAGTTCATTTTTAACCTGAATTTTCCAATATAGAAACCAAATTATTAAAGCTGACTTAAAGATTTTTATATGTATTAAACACTGTAGAATAAAATGATTTATAGTTATCGTATCTCTGAGATAAGCCAGTATAACTTCTCTTTATGAAATACAGAAAGCGGGGCTAGTGTACTGGCATAGTAGGTAAAGCCATTGTTCGCTGGCATCCCATATGAGTGCTGCATTGTGTCATAGCTGCTTCACTTCTGATCCACTTCTGTACCAGCTTTGCAGGTACAGTGTTCTGGGTTGACAGTTTTTTCTGTTAAGACTTGGAATGTATCTCACCATTCTCTCATAGCCTAGAGTTTTTTGATGAGAAGTTAGCTCAGCGTCCAGTTGGAGATCCTCTGAAAGCAATCTGGCATTTGTCTTGTGCAGATTTTCGAATCTTTTCTTTGTGTTTTACTGTGGAGAGTAACTACAATATGTCATGGTGAAGATCTTTTCTGGTCATGTCTATTAGGAGTTTTATGTTGCTTCCTGTATTTGGATGTCCCTTTCTTTCTCCAAATTAGGAACGTTTTCTGCAATTATTTAATTAAAAAAGGCCTGCTAATCCATTCTCTCTTTCCATGGCCTCAGGAACTCCTATGACCTGTATGTTGGGTCATTTGATAGTATTCCATAAATCGCTAAATCTCTGACACTGTTTCTTAGTTTTCTAATTTCTTCTTCTCCTTTTCCTCTTCTCCTTCTCCCTCTCCTTCTTCTTCTTTTTGTCTGACTGTTAAACTTCCAGAGATTTGTCTTCTAACTTGCATCACCAAGTCTGTTCTTAAGGCTTTCTACTATATTTTTATTTGTTCGAGAGAACTGTTGATTTCCAATATTTTGTTTTGTCTTTAAAATCTCAATTTTGTGGGAAAAATTTTCATTCTTGTCATGTATAGATTTCTTTAGTTCATGAATTTGCTTCTGATTACTTCTAAGTAATCCTATGATCAATTTTTTGAATTACATTTCTGGCTTTTTTCAATCTCTTCTTCACATTTTAATATTGAAGTGTTATGTTCTTTTGGGGACATCATTCTTATTTCTTGAATTTCTGCATTTATTATTAGACATTTGTGGTGATACTTTTTGGTCTATTTTTTTCCCCTATGATGGATTTTATCTTTGGACTATGCCCCTGTGGCTTAGAGGAGTGTCTACTCCTTCAGTGAATAACCAGAGACATGTGCTAGGTGTGGTCAGGAAGCTCTGGTCAGTGATCCAGGGTGAGGGGAGTGTCCAAGGTGACTTCCAAATTGGGTGTAGTAAATCTCCTCTTTTTTTTTTTTTTTTAATCATAGGTGATGTTTGTTCTGCTCCGTTGGCATATTCTCACATTCACCCCCTCACCTCAAAGGAGACCAATGCCTGGACGGTAGCCCCAGTGGGTATAATTTTCAACTGCACTGCCACAAGAACACAAAGGAACATTGTGGTCCTTGGTGTGAGAATGAATCCTGCATAAATGAATCTCATCAGGGAATCAGGTGGAGCATGTGGAGCCACCCATGGTAACTGCACAAAGAATCAGCCACACTCTGTGCCCTCCCACACAGCCATAGTGTTTTCACAGTGCCAGCACACAAGGCTCCCACAGTCAGGAGCTCCCATCTCTCTCAATTCTCCCAGCCAGACTCAGGTGTCTCCTCTCAGCTGGTTGCAAGACACATGAACACGAGCTGGCACAGTTGTTACATACGTCCAAAATGGTGCCTGCCCGCTCTCAGCTGGTTACAGGATGCCAGTGCTGGATGGTTGAGGAGAGAGAAATGTGCCCCCCTTTTTTCCCTATAGGTTGTCAGGTACACGTTCCCCAACAGGGCTCCAAGCCAGACTCAAGCCAGGCTCTTCCGCAACTTTATTGCCAGTGGCTTGGGCTGCTGCAGTCTGGTCTCACCTCACTCCAAAGCTGGTGCTGAGGCTGTTGGTTCCTGGGGTCCTGAGCTGTACACTTCTACTCTTTCCACATAGATCCACAATATCCCCCCTAATTTGCATGGAGTTTCCTTTGCCATTTTCTACCTAGCCCTTCCCTAAAACTGCACTCTCTCCACTTTTTATTAAAACTTTCCTCCCCTAAACTAGAGCAGCAACCTCCCTCCCTATTCTGCCATCTTCCACCAGACCAAAAGGAAGACATCTTATTTATTATTTTTAAAAACTTTTATTTAAGTTATACAAATTACATGTATTTCATGTATACCAATTTAGGAACATAGTGATACTTCCCACTTTACCCTCCTTCCTTTGATTAACATATTTAAAAAGTTCTATTACACAGAGGATGAGATTGGAAGTATAGCATAGAAAATTTATAAAATATTGAAGGATGAAATTGTTACGTGTTCAGGAAAAAAAATTTCCTTTACAAAATAATTTTTGCATATTAACGCAAGTTAGTTTCTTGCCTTCTTCCTTTTTTTCTTTCCTTTGTTTCCTTACAGGAACAATAGCCTGAGATCAAAGTGCTTACATCTGAGGATTGGCCTTCATGACACAGAAATGATGGGAAAAGAGGAAGGTGAATTTTCTTACAAGCTATATATATACATGTATATATAATATATGTATATATTTTATATATAATATGTATATAATATAATGTACATATGTATATTATATATATAATATGTACATATATGCAAGCTATATATTTATTTAAAGTGCATCTATTTATTTTGGTACCAATGTTTCGTAACTTTGGTATTTTT